CAGAACAGTAGTAATTTTCTCATCGAAAGTTAGCTGTAATTCGACATAAATAAAAAGATACGAAAATAATAAAGGCTTTGTCACACAGACTGAAACGAAGCACATAGGGAGACAGTGTTGCCGAGTGCTTGAGAACTGACTGTCATGTTGAGAAGTAACGGTCTGCTGACCACTAAAAGGTAAACTTTTCTTGTCTTCGTGATTTCGTCTTCTTAAGGCCTTTTCTTCCATTCTTTCACATCATTTATTTTTTTCTTAATTTTTTTTTTGTTTTTATCTATCTTTGAAGAAAACAGCGTAAACCTGTTATGAAAAATAGCTCAAATGGCTGTTGGGAATGCAGTGCTTCTATCCCCAGGTGATTTCATGGTCAAAAAGTATAAAAACCAACACGCTCCTTCCTACGCTAATTTTACCTAGTTCGCTGAAATTATTCCAACCTGTTAAGAAAAACGAATGAGCAAAGTCTAATCTATGCATAACGATGAGACCATTGGAGCGTGAAACGCCCATGAATGTCGGCAAATCATCGTCCATACTCTGTCCAAATATATGTGAACACATTATTCGGAATCCCATCTTCATCACTTGGAGTCTAGAGAAATTATACCTAGCTTCAAGCAGAAGTATTGACTACACGGAGCTTGGAATAATCTGGGGTGAAAGGGAGTCATTTTGTTATCTCTGAAAGAGCTCGATCCACTATGATCACATGGAAACAGATTATGATCTATGTCCTATTCAAAAGAATGTTCTGCAATATCTCATTGGTTTTGTTGTCATATGCCTCTATTTCATGCGCAAATGACCGAGAAAAATTCTGTGCGGAACGCAAAGACAATTTTCCCAAAAATGAGAATAACTGAAATAATCAAGAGAAGAGACACACATAAATCACAAAGCGCCCGTGACAGGTTCTCTACTTCGCAAATATGGTGTTAGGGTTCGGTAACCAATAATGCTTCCGATATTGGAGAAGATCTTTATTCGCATGAAAAGAAAGACTTTGGGAGTTCCGTTGGCTTTAAGCTTCCATATAACCATTCACACTAATTACACTCCCCATCAATCACTGTCGGAAATATTCTGCATTAGGTAACCGTTCCTATTGTAATCCTGAAATTGGTAGTATTCATGAACCATATTACGGTTCATGCCACATAAAACTGATAGCGAGCAGAAATCAAAAACTAAAAGACTTGTGGACAGCAAGTGCATTTCAAGTTGAATTATCGAAATAACTCAATGATATAAATATCAACAATACCTAATGGAATTACAATAATGAAATGACTGATGAATACTGGTTCCTACTAAATCTCCGAAACCACATTAAGATATGTCACACGGAAATACACTAGTTGGATATCGGAATCAACTGTCCAACTATTTGAAAACGCTGTGCCAGAGCACTTATATCAGGAGATCTGATTGAATGCTTCGAAAACATGCAATGACAGCAGCACAGCGAGATAGAAATATTATTGGAGTGGTAATGTGGAGAACTGATTGTCTGAGTAAGGATAACGGGAAACTATCCTATTTTCATAAGCTTGTCTTCTTCGCCATAATTCGGGAAATAAAATGATCCGAACTAATGGTGGTGGGTAAGAAAGACGTTAAACACTTGTCATCCCGGAAAATAGCTAAAATGCTCGCCAAGCCGACCGTCCCATAAAGCAAGAAATAATCTCAGTCATCCAGAAGTTTACCGCGAAGACTGCAGAAGAATACGGTTTTCGAGTCATCAAATCTTGTCGAAATTTTTTACCTTCAAAAATATACTCTCTGGTGTGCAAGAAAGAACTAATATAAAATACTGGAGCAAAGCGATTCGAAGCGATTTTTTTTTTAATCCGATTGCAAAAAGGGTAATACCAAATACTAATAATTATCGAGGAATTGACCTACTAGACAGCTGTGGGGAATTTTCGTTTTCCTTCCGTTGAACAGATTCATGGCAGGTGAGACTGTAAAAATGGGCCTTGTGTGATATCTGTGTGCTGACCAAATCACTGAGAATATCTCTTCAAATATTGGCAACCCACCATTGTTAGTTTTATTGATTTTAGGGTTACCTTCGATACAATTGGTGGAGCGATGCTCTGGAAGATCATGGAATGCAGTGGTATTCCATAGAAGGTCATTCGACTCATGAAGGCATTTTATTACATCATTTCATTTACATTTCATCATCAGAGTATATCGGCATAGCGTTTCGAAATAACTGGTATCTATTAGGACTGCATTCTTTTCTTTACAGTATTCATGCATTAGTCTGGATTATGGCCACTCAAGAATTTCACAAGTCAGTTCGGATCATAGTATCACACTGAATATCTTCAATATCTTGAATATCCTTTTTTCTGATATTCATGAAGAAGTGCAAAAGATCCCAGCATATCGACAGCAAAAGATCACGCAGGACCATTTTAAATAGAACATATTAAGCAAGCGGGAGTAACTTACATACCAGACGCTAATGAAGTACCTATTTTCATCAGTTCATTGCGGGTTGAGGAAGTGACCTCAAATATTTTGGATCCATTCTTATGGTTAAGCGAAAGAAATTGCAAACTGCATTTTCGTGCGAAATCATGGAATCACCATGAAACTGCCAAAATTAAAGTTCACCTATCTGATTGCATGTTATCTTGTTACAGAGCTGTGAAAATGTGGTCAAGTAAAATATTAAGAAGGTCTATCACTGAGCACTCTAAGACACATCTTTTAAGAAGTTTGGACCTCACCATTGTGATGCGCACTGTTCGAAAATTAATACGATTTGAAATGAATATCTATTGGCTGATAGAGGTAGAACACAAAGCGAAGAAGATAACGATGTAATCAGGTTAACGTCTCGACGTTTCACGTCTGCCAAAAGTTTTTATCAATGTAATCCAACTTAGCAATCGTATTTTGAAAATAATTTGGAAACAAAAATATTATCGCAATAAATTATGAGTAAGGGCGCACTGAAATTCAAAAAATTTTAAAATATAGCGAAACTGAATTTGCCAAAATTTCTAACATTTGATCTAAAATTCGGAAGACGCTATATTGACAAATTTATTGTTTTAATTTATAGATTGAAAATACTACATTTCGAGGAAAGTTCAGCTTTGTGTTATGTCAGTTAGTGATAATTCCACTAATTCCACATGATTAAACGCTTGTTTTGATAAAATTTTTGATAAACACTTTCCCGATGCATTCTTTATTTCTTTCCAAATATCACGAAAGATAATGTGAGCATTTTCTCGAATAGAATGTGATATAGGGGTTTGGTGTTTCGCCAGGAACATATTTTATTATGATGAACTGGAAGAGAACTTTAGCCATTCTTGAAATCTCATGATGTGCCAAGAAGTGTACCAATCTCTCCTACGTATATATCTCCATACTCACACGTAATTTTATTAACGCCTTCTCATATCAGACGATGGATATATTTTTTTTTAAGTGTACCACTAACAATTAGACTCACTTCTTCGGCTTGTCACACTAGACAAATTTTTCAAGAAGTCCTTTGGAAATAATCGATAGTTAAATTAGACAGACAAAAGTAGAGAGAAACATGGTCAATGCGAACGAAAATTAAGAAACTATTACTTTATCTATTACCTTTGTCCACTATTACCTAGGATACATGTTGCATGCTCACCAAACAGACACTTTTATAAGTATTCCCTATCGCGTCTCTTCGTTCATGTACGATCTGCATTAAGAATCGTCGTTCTAGCCATGTCCTTCGACGTTCGTCACACGCGCATATCTTGCTATTCGCTAAGTCCGTAAGAAATGAAGAACACCAGTTGTGCAGACAACCAGGCTCGGTGATTACTGGTAATTACTTAATGATTGCCGATTTACCTTCAGTCATTTTGTATTTTAAGATATAAATAAATAAAATTCAGTGCGTAGAATATTGTAGAACTTCTTAGATATACTAGTTTAATTGAATACGATTAAAGAATTTTTTATTAATTTTAATAATTTTTTATAATAATAATTAATAATTTTTTTATTAATCAATCAGAAAAGATTTTGAATAATTAGGCGATGTGTGGGCTTAAACAGTGGAAACAGTGGAAATCTGCTCTCAGATAAGAAAATACGAGCTGCTCAAAGAGGAAGAAAAATATTTTTATTGGGAAACTCTTTCCTTCTCTCCCACTCGCCTTGGCCGATAAGTTTTTAATTGGTACCATTCACAGCCAAGTTGAATTTCTAGAATGCGAATGAACAAGAAGAAAACGCATTTAAAAACACGCTTAAAGCAGTCAAAAAGTGAGAAAAAGAATTATTTAAAAAATGTTTAATCCTCGAAAGACGATTTTTCCACTTTTCCACAGTGAATATCTTAAATATAATGGAATGTGACTGATCGATTTTTTACTCGCCTTTTGCTCAGAATCGATTTTTCGTATAGATTTATAAAAATGAGAAGGAACGAAGAAATTCCAAAACTGGCTAAAAAAGTTTTATTTCTGCTAAAAGTTTTTTTATTTCTGCGAGATAAAACTGCGTGCAATGAGCAAAGAATGTAAATTACACGACAAATCCTCAAATAGCAAAACAAATAAAGTGAATTGGGAGAATAAAACTGGATGCGAGAAAAATTTGACGCCACAGTCAAATTTTTTGCGGGCAAACGCAATAATAAAAAGCGTGGATAAAACGTAACGTGCCGCACGTCCACGTATTCGGCATTAACGACAAATTAAATAAATAGGTAGTTGTGCTCAAAACGATAGTAAACAAAGGTAAACAAAGGTAACGTGAAAATGTTGCGCATAATGCGGCGACACGTTCCCGCAGCGTCTAACGTCAGAGCAACGATTATAATCAAAAACTAAAAATTCTCTTTGCATATATTTATTCCGTAATCCTCAGCGGTCTTAGATAACAACGTCACAAACCTGCAACGAGTCCGATTTAATGCGTCTAAATGATTCATACGACGCCGACAAATAGAGTTTCGGCTGGCAATTTGGATGATGCAGCCTAGGCGTTATTTGGCTGTTCATTTCGTTGTTATTATGATTATATTCGACAGAAGTGTGGAGGGTTCGCTTGAGAAGTGCGTAGAATCGCACAAATACAATTCTAAGAGGCAATTCACTTTGACTTTCCTTATTGGCTCGAAAATCAATAGCGATTTTAATATCGCTCATCTGTCGTTTACAACTGTAAATGAACTTTTCGAGAAGGTCAGTTGTTTCCTTTTTTCCTTCATTTTCCAGCCTTCATTCCATTATTTTTGCAGTCATTTTAATTTATTTTAATTTTTTCTGTAAATCTCATTCAACTTTACGCGCGGGCAATCGACATCTTTGACACATTGCGCTCCCCAGTGGATTCATTGTGGGGAGCGCTTGCTGGCATTCAAAAGTCTCATTGATGGCACGAGCCGTTTTTTACTGATAACTGTGAAGGAGCATAAATGAGAGTAGGCCAACCACCGCAGCTGCAGTCAGAGTTCGGATCAATTTGAATAAGTCGGAAGTTTTTTCGTCTCATTATTCATTCTGTTATTTTCATTTATGGCATTGGATTGAGCAGTCTGGGAACGTTTTACCATTCTAATGGCCAGTAATATCGCTACTTTTAAAAGAAGGAGAAAGCTTTTTTCGAGAATTTATCTATTATTTATTAACAATTTTATATTTTTTCCTTAATTATTTATTGTTTAATTTATATTAAAATTTTTTAATGGTTTTTATGGTAATTCTGTGGCCAGCGTTCTCCTATTCTCGCTGCGAACCTCAAACTTAGGGAATTAAACCAGAAATACGTTTAACCATCAAGACGCGCAAGTCGACGTATTGCAGCTTCGTTATACCTTGGATATTATCGCGCAGAATTTTGCGATGACGTTTAACGCCCCCCCCCCCCCCCCCCCCTCCCCAAGATCTTTACCACCTTTACCACGCCCTGATTTTCTTCAAATCAAAAATCTGGTAGGTCCATGCTTCTGGTGCTTAGTATCTGCTCTACCTATTCTTCTTCTGCTATATATATAGGAAATTTTATTCCTACATAATTAAATCAAAATTATCTTTCAACTTCATATTTTATTGTTTGCCTTAAAAAACTATTTTTCTCGTTTTTTAAGATATCAAATGTTTTTTTTACATTTCTCCGTTATTTTTGTTCTTCTAGTAGTAAGATTCTTAATTTCTACGTTTTGAAATAATTATGCAAAAGAAATTCAGGAGGATAAGGAGTGGATAGAAACGGTAATTGAACATGGTTATCTGCTTAGACGATTTCTTCCAGGTGGCATCGGTAACGTTGGTAAGTTTAATAAAATTAAAATAATAAAATTTAATAAAATTTTATTATTTTAATAAATAAATTTAATAAAATTTTTAAAAAAATTTTTTTCTTTTAACATTCTTCATAAAATAAAATATTTCGGAGAGAATTGGTGAATTCATATATTCAATAAGTTAAGTCTCTTTCGAAAGGTTAAGCTAAGTAATAAGTTTTAATTTTGCTCAAGATTATAATGCCCAGTTTAAAGAAAATTTTCAATTTTTGCCGAAAGCCTATTTGAAATCTTCAAAATAGGCATTTGGAAAGATATGTAAATCAAGCAGCAAAAAAGGAAATCAGGAAACTATTTTCTTTTCCTTATTTTCATTAAAAATTGTTGTTAGTTTAATTCTTGTGGAAGTTTAACAATTTTATTCTCTAGCGGCCTATTTAAATTTTTAATTTTCCGTCGCAGTCTTCCCATTTCTTTTATTTTTTTGGAATCTTCTTCCAGTAGCTTGCACAGTCGCTCAGTCGTTACTTTGGTTACTGACGTTTAGGGTAATATTTCGAAACGATCCTGGCACGAAAGTTGCTGAAGCCACTTCTTTTCTTAAACCCCTTTATTGCTTGGAAATCTATATGTAATCTAAAAAGTCTTCTGACTATATCGGTCTTTAGTCTTCCTCGCTTGGTACTGTAATCTATCACAAAGCTTATCAAGCAGCGAGATATGTGTTAATTCTTATGGTAAACGACGAAGAATATGATGCCCAAATCAGCGCAGGTAATGCATGTGACGTTATTTTTATGAAACTCTACATTTTGTTAGTAGAATGGACCTTAGGGAAGAGTGGACGAAAGCAGATGATTTTCCAGTCTAATTGGCCAAGTTCCCTATATTGCGCGTCCTGTACTCAGATAGGGAAGTTTCGTTTTAAGGCTAATTCAATGAGGATTCTGGAGACGTCTCGCTAGATAAAAAAAAGGCATCTTTATATCTGCAATTATCCGAGCTGAAGTTTCATCTGTCGCCTAGCCATCATATATGAGAATGGACTGGAGATATCGGAAAAAATTGTAATATAAAAGAATATAATAGAAATATCAGTTATTAATATCAGTTGGTGTGCAAATAATATCAGTTATTTACGAACTGAAATGTAGGATGATTATGATTGAATAGGAAGGACCTATTGTAGAAACTGATTGATTAATAGATCTACCTATAAACTTATTGACTGACTCTATCACAAACTAATAAATAAATACCTTCTTGTCTTTGGTCACATTCCTTCTTGTTTTTTATAAGGGATGTTCTTTAAGGAAAGAAAGAGATTTTAATTTACAATTCGACGTATAACATCTAAATGGGAATTTACATGCAAAAATACCAGATGTAAGCTTATTTGTGATTTTAAGCATGGGAAAACGCTTATTTTTTTCGGTTTTTCCGACACATTCTTCTGAAACGCTTTGGTATTACAATCGGACAGCTAGATCATTTTTTCTAAGACTCAATTTGCTTTCTTTCGAGTCGTGTGTACTAAGTCAGATTTAGCTAACTTTTTTAGGCTAAGACCGATATTCCTCGATAGTTCTAGAGGTGTTTTAGAAGTATTAATTAAAATATTTTCAAGCTGAGGTGCATCAGGTGCGTTCTGATCTACTACGCTGCTAAGTCCTTGGATAAGCTCTTGTTGCCTGCACAGAACCGACATTTGCCGAACTTTCTTAAGGAGTTCTTTCAAAAAAAAAACTATTGAGAACTCTAGAGAATTTACATGGTCATTTACATGTTTTTAATAGTTATTGCTGTATCATCTGAGCTCACTTGATATATTTGTCGTACCGCTGGGTTAATAATACCATACGTGGAATACGTGGGTATCATTTGCGATTTGCTTGATCCTTTAGTTATTGATTCATTTAGGGATAGGAGGATGGGTCCACTCAGGTTTGATTTAGGTGACAATTTCCTCCTATCGAAATAAGTAAACAGATAATCTTCTAAATGTGATAACACGAAATTTTTAAGGTAGAATTTGTAAAATTATAAAATAATTTTGCTAAAAGAAATATTCCCAATTCTGAGGATTACGGTATTGCTAGGAAAAAAGGAAAAAAGAAAAAATTTCATTTTGAATTTTATTTTTTTTTCAAATTAATTCGAATTAAATTGATCGAGCATTTTCAAAAAAGGCCCTTGGTTTACTATCTAATTTAAAGAATACAAAGAACAAATATTGAAATAATTATGATATTGATGTAAGAAGATACAAGAAATACAGGGAAGTACCCATAATTTAAGGAATATTATGGGTATGTAATGAGAACATTGGTTCAGAACGTCAACGAATACTTCTGAGGCTTTTTGATAAAATCGTAAAGGAAGCAAGAAATGATTTCATTACCACTGATAACATTTACGTTCGTTATTTTTTCATATTTATCGATATAGCAATGCACTAATTTTTTTCAGTCAACTATTTCATTTATTCTACAATTCTACAATTTATTCTACATTTATTTATTTTTTTTGTTAATTAATTGTTAATAAAATCATTAAAAAATTTATGTTCTCAATTTTCTTGTTTTTTTAATTTTAATTTTTAATTTTTTTAATTTCTCTCAGTTTTTAGTGTGTGGTTCATTTGGAAGCACCAAATTATAAACCTCAAGGTTATACACTTGATGCGGCAGTAAAAAATACAGATCCTTCTCCTGTGAAAGTAGTATTTTCTAATGTAAGTGTTATAATAGTTTTTATGGATTTTTCCTGTTGTATTATTTTTTTGTCAATTGTATTTTATTTATATTTTTGCATTGCACCATTTTTTTTGCAATTGTAGAAACGTTGAGAAATTTTACAAGTTTTTTTTTTCAAAATTTGCATAGTATCAGAATTCCAAGAGTTTTATTAAATATTGTGAAAATAATGGCAGTTTTCAGTTGGAGTGGATTGGAGTAAAATCTTCTATTTCTATAAATTTTTCATTGCCAGTTCGAGATGATGTTCATAATTTTCGCGACCAGTTCAAATATATTATGTCAAAATGGAATGACAAGGTAAATTGTTATAACTGTGTTAATGCCTATATCGTGTTGAACAGAGTAAATTAATGGAAGACCAAATCAGAAAACTGAACGTGGGATCATCAGACTCCACAAAATCAAAAAATCAAAAATTTTCATTTTTCCGATCAACTATTTTGTTTCTTTATTAAATAAGTAATAATTTAATAATTTATTAATAATTTTTTTATTTCTCAGATTTTAATTCACCATAATTTTAAGATATTCGTCTTTTTTAATTGTTTCTATTTTATGCATTTTCGTCGGTAAATTTCATTTTTCTAGTTTTTTAAATATATTTATTTATATACTTATATTTTAATATACTTATATTTTATATTTTAATATATAATATATTTATATTTATATATTGCAGAGTAGGATGGCTCAGTAGGTTGTTATTCAGTTCTTAGCGGCCATGTTTGTTCTATTCGGAAGTATCTGTCCAAAACTCCGGCTTATACTGGCGACTCACCTTTACTTCTATCGCTCAGGGATATATATTTGTCCAGTGCGATAAGCCATTAGAGCGAGTCTAACCATTAATTAAGGATGAGGGCTTTTTAAAAGAAAGATATATTTATAGCGGTATATTCATTTATAGATTATGGGGTGTAACATAGCGTTATTGAATGGTCATTTGAAATCTTTCGATGAACCTCTACGAACAAAGGAGAAACGGCATCGTTCAAGCAATTTTGTTGAAATTCAATTGTTCTTGTCGTCAGGTATTTATTCTTATAGGAATGAACTATAGTTCTTAATTTCGTTTTTTATTTTATTGCTAACTACAATTTTATCGCGGCAGCTTTATATTTTTGCTAAATTTAAGACGATGATTTCGAAGATTTTGATCATAAAGATTTGATTGGATATAGCATCGTTGATCTGAAAGCCAATCTTTCAATACAAGCAGCTGTACCAAGTAAAGCAACCATGGAATATGCAATAAATGCTGTCAAGGAACACATCATCAGGAATCTCAGTTTTCGAGCTGGTAAATTTTATGTTCTTGAAAAAAAGATGGGGTTAAGTCTGTCATACATTCAGTTTTTTGTTGTACATATCCCTTTTTTATTTTTTATTTCTTGTAGATGCTGAAAATGTTTAGAATTACATTACGAAACAATGGAAGTAACTGATGATTCTGATGCGGAAGATGGCATATCGATCCATCAGTTTCCTCGACTTGTAACTGCTCAATTTCCTTCACAATCAGCTATATTGCTCAGTGATTGTCTTATGCAAGAAGATACCAAAAAAATTGCTCAAGACGATTTTAAACAATTTTTTTCCTTGGAATTTACCGAAGGTGACTCATATTAATATCTAATGTTTGTTTATTCACCTTTATCACCTTTAATAAGTAAAGCAAAATTGAATCAAAATTTTAAAACAATTCAAATATAGAAGGATTTTTACGATTCACACAATTCTTTTTTTCGCTTTCGCTTTTATCTTCGTTTTTTCCAAATTTTAAAATTTTGTTTCAATTTTTTATGAGCAGAAATTGAGAATGAGCAGAGAAACCATTTTTTTCATTTCATTTAGTTTCAATTTTCATTTCAATTTGTTTTAAATTTCCTAAAGCTTTTTTTATAAAATCTGTCAATTATTTTCAAAAATTTCCATCCGAATAATTGAAAGACCTTGTAAATAATTTTCAGAATTTTTGCTAATTAATTGATTTTTATTAATTGCTTTAGATGAAATCAGTGATAGTTATGAGCGGCCGTTAAGTTGTAAAGATTTTTATGGTATTTTGGAAGAAAATGATAAACCAAAACGATTCGATCGGCCAAGTTCAACCACATCGAGTGGCGTATCAATATCCTCTGTTGTGCCAATAACAAATGTAGAAATTAGAAAAGCCAACTATATCATGCAGATTTCATTTCTCATTGCGCTAATTGCTTTTGTATTTTATTTATTACTACGCTTTATGTCATATTAGCTTATTATTTTAGATTTTTTTAGACTTTGGTCTTCCAGTTGTTGTTTTCTACGGCAGGGATATTTAAATTTTGAGAATTTTCCTTTATTTGCAAAATAATAGCTAATTTTTTATGCAGGTTTTATCGTATTATATTGGTTCAGTGGTTTTCTAAAACCACTAATTTAAACCACTAATCTAAGATTTCGTTTGCAATTTTCACTGTGTTCTTCGATAGGTTATGTTATGGTATTCAAGAAATGAACCGAAATTAGAAAATTATCGAAATTAATTGGAATATTAGGAAAGGTTTGTTGGTGCATTATCACATTATTTTTATGATAGTTTAAGCAGTTATGCTCAAAGAAAACAATTTAATTTAATGGATCAACTATAAGATAAATAAGGAAATTTTCGGCTTTTATTATGACGAAATCATCAACCAGCAATGGCTCGTTTCATGCTATTCTAGCCTTTTAGCTGATTCTGTTCATGTAGGGTGAATAATAACTGTTTGTTTTATTGAGTTCACAGATTGTTTGTGTTACTAAAATTTTCGTTGTGATTTATTTTTTAATTGAAATAAACATTTAATTACATAATTTTGAATTTGAGCATGCAACGGCGAAATGCAGTTTTTTTATTTGATAAAAAAGGTAATCAAAGGTAACGAAAACTGACGGGTAACGTTTTTTCCTAGTAATGATAATTTAAAAGAAAAATCAGTTGTTTAAGAGAAGCAACTTATTCGACTTATTTTTATGAATTCATTTGAATTATTTTTTGCTCAATCTATTAATTAATATTTACTGCTATTGTTAATAATATTGTTATTCATTTATTTGAAAATAACAGTGCCTGTGCTTGCATTAACAACAACAGGAGGTGCCGAATGAAAAGGCCAATAAAATTAGTTTGGTTTTACATATAGGTTTTGATAATGTTAGCCTATTAGATCTTGTTGGCTTGAAATTTAACCTAAAATTATATAACATTTCAATAATCTAATTAGCCAACATATTTATAAAATAAATCTTGCTTAAGTAGACGAACTGTGAGTAAATTGAAAGTGGGTCTAGATTATATAGATGAATTAGTTGCTTTTCCTTATAACTGAGGTTGCTATTAGGATAAAGATGATGTATAAAGTGTTTCTGGAGTCCTTCAACCAATTTACTCGATTTGCAATTTGCGATATAGGAAAAAATAACAGGTTGAATTATATCCAAAAAGAGATCGAACGAATGCTTTGCATATTTTGAAGCTTTCAGTTTTTTAAACGACCGAAAAATGAAATTTAATATTTGTGAGGATTTCTTTATTATAGTTCCTCGGTGACCAAGACTTTTATCCAGAAAGATACTTAGGAAAGGTATGAGATGTTGGATTGCTACTACCAATAAAACGATTAGGAAAATCGGATCCTTTCGTATTTAATTGTATATAAATATGTAATAAACTATATTTTTGAATGTAAAAGGCGATTTGCCTACCATGCAGCCAATTGGTAGTTCTATTGAGGTCATTTTACCAGAGATACCAGAGATTTTTCGATCTAAATGAGAAAATTTTGGAGTTAGTTGCAGGTAAATAGTAGAATTTAATATAACCGTGGTGATATATATCATTAATATTAAGAAAAAAAAGTAATGGTCCCATACAACTACCTTGAGAGATATCTAGCTAAAAGAGCTATTGACACGTAAAACTCAATGCCAGTCCTTTAAATAATCTGATGTCCAAACCCTCTGCAATGCCGCACCTATTAATGGGGACCAGCAACACAACTTGGAAGCGGTATCAAATGTTTTGCCCAAATCTAGATAGGTTGATATTATTTTTCCATTATCAATTTATGCTATCCAGCCGAAAAAATTAGGCAATTCTGTGAAGTAGTGGGGTTTTTTGAGCAGAAGCCATGATGATAAGAGAATTTTAAATTATTAGCGCTAAGATAGCTAAGCAAATAATTGCAAATATCAGTCTCTTTAGCACTATGCACGTTAGGAGCCTATAATTGGAAGGATCATAGATATTTCCTTTGTTGTAAATGTGATTTATATGGGACAGTTTGATTTTTGGATTTAGACCATTTTCATAATTTTCATAATCTTTATTTCTCTATTTATAAATTATAAATAGAAGGAAACGTGAGGGAGACTATGCATTTTTTATAAAATATTATATCAATATTATCGGAACCAACTGATAAAGTGATTTTAAGTTTATTCAAGGCATAAACATTTAACATTATTTCAGTCTCATCGAGGGAACTGCAATAATAACTTTGATTTTCATTGAAAAAAGTTTTATTTATTAATATAATCGTTAACCAATACTAAAATTGGAAAAGTATTGATCAAATAGGAAATCAAAAGGATTATCATTATTCTGCAGAAGAATTATCGGTTTTCGTGGATCGCCAATTTTTTAAAATACAATCTCAAAAAGAAAATGCTTTTAAAAGTTGCTCTTCTTTATTCAAAAACTATTTGCAAATAACATTACGGAAAATTTAAAACATTCTTTCTGTACAGAGAGGCCATCGCAATTTGGCTAATTCATATTCATTATAAAAGTTTTTTATATTTTTCTTTAGAGATTTTCGGGAAAGAGGAATAGACCGAACATCTTTTCTTAAATGCATATAAAGAATAAAGGAATCAATTAGACAAAATATAAAATCCCAATTTATTTCGTAATCAAAACTGAAAGGCAGCAAACTTTTGTTTTTTGATAAATAAAAAACTGATGAGAAAAAACTGTTGATGATGAGAAAAAAACTTTTTACATAAAATTTAAATAAAACAAAATAATAAAACTATAAAAAATAAAAATAAATTTTGTTTTTTTGAGATAAATTGTATTTTTTCATTTTTTCAAGTTTATTTTTCATTATATTTTCTACTTTCTATTTTTTTTACTTTTCTATTTTTCTACTTTCTTTTTTATTTTTTTCTTTCCTAATTTTTTTTTATCTTTGACAGGAGTAAACCTATCATGATTTCAAAAATTCCAATGGCTGCTGGGGACGCATCTGCAATTTTATCTCCAAGTGACTCTATAGTAAAAGGATCTAGTCATGATTAGCACATCCTCAGCCTGGTAATACATGCGAAAAATATGTAATCAGGGTAATCCGAGCATAATAAAACGATCCCAAGGCTTAAGAATAAGATGTGCTCTTGAGCCATACTCGAAATTTGTCATGGAAAACGGCTCTGTGGATGTGTGGCGAAATGTTACTCGTAGTGGCATGGAACATAAGAATACATGTGGAAGCCAAGCGATCACTGTCCACACTCTTTCCAAATATCATGTGGATATCGCTTGCTTATAAGAAGCCCTTACTTCGGTTCTCGAGCAATTATTAAACCCGGTTCCGAAAAGAGGTACTGGCTATATCATCATGGCGTTTCCAATAAGTCAGGGTGAAATGGGTAGCGATCATCATCTGAAAAAATTCGGACCGCTCTGATTGAGTAGAAGCCAATAAATGACCGCATGGCCTATGTGCGTTTCGAAGGAAAGTTTCGCAATATCTCAGCCATCAGTGTATATGTTTCAACTTTAAACATAGATGATAGATAAGGATAAGTTCTATGCGAAACTTGAACTGTTAAAAACATCTTTAAGGAGAGGTGATCATAATCATAATCGAGGGAGACTGGAAGACGTGAGCTGGTAACGATGAACTCGGTAATTGGCAAATATGGTATCGGGGCCAGTAGAGATCTTCGCATCGCCTTCTTCGCTTTTTCCTTCTTCCCTTCTTCCCTTCGGAACAGCTCTTGCGCTTTTTGTTGCTAATACATGCTTCAGGCATCGCAGAAGATATCTAATCACTTGAAACTCTTTGGATAACCAATATTTAAGCCAGACTGATATCTTAGTCATTCCATTGGAAAAGTTACGCACTAGATAGTCGTTTCTACTGCGTCGATAAAACTGGTAACCTTCATGGACCTGACCATGTTATGGTTCGAGCTAAAATCCACATAAAAGAGACATCTCGCAAGAAAGATGATAAGATCTCCCAAGATCTTTCAACTACATCAAACTATAAAATTCGAGATCAGTGTCAGTGCTAAAGCACCATCTATTGTCCCTGATATAGCCGATTTGATCGCCGAACCATACTTTTGCAACTGCGAGCTATCATTAAAACCTTCATATCACCCTTAACAAATATGTTCTCTAAAAGAAGGAAAGAAGGAAATAACACCAGGAAACTGGAGTAAAACAATTATATTTCCGATTTTCAAGAAAGATAACGGGATATACTGTGACAATTATTGAGGAATCAGTCTATTAAATAAGAAATTTTTACTAAATTAGAAATAGGCTTATGACAATACTAGAAGCAGGATGCTTCCTGATCAAGCTGGATGTAGGTAGGGACGAGGTAGTGCTGACCAGATGTTCACGTTCATGTTAAGATATCAGCAAACCAACGTCACTTGTTTTATCGAGCTGCCTTCGATTCAATTTGGAGAGCTTTGGGGATTGATGGAATATGACGGTGTCCTAGAGATCATTCGATTCATATAACGCAGATCTTTTTTTTAATAGCGGTGAGAAATAGAAAATAAACAGTGTTTGAAGCACGGCTCATTGCCAAATCTTAAACATCCTTCTAATATTCGAAACTTGGTGTGTGGGTATGTTGTTTTACTACAGTCCGTTAGTATCTGCAGTCACCCCCACAGTGCTTAGTTATGTCCACATAACGCTCAGTCAAACCTCATAAGCCACTTTTTCACCATCTCAGTTGCAAATTATAAAGTGGCGAAAGGTGAGAGGGCGATGATGCCACCAGTTTATAATTTAATATTAAAACTGAATGCAGCAGATTGCGTCAAATTTATTTTATAAATATTTTAAACTTCAAATTACTTTAAATTTATTTTATTTTATAGTTTTTACGTCACCGAAGAAATTCATCGCTTTTTCAAAATAACATTTCATTGTAAATATTCCAATGCTTTAATGAATTACAATTTTACTGAACAGTTTTTCGATGTATTACAGTTTATTATAGTTTATTATTATAGTTAATACTTTGGGTCAGCAAATTTTTTTTAATTTTTTATTTTTTTAATTTGTGTGGAGATTATTCATAGAGAAATCCTCGTTCTGGAGAAAAAATGAAGCTTCTCGGCTCCGGGAGAAGTATGGTTACATAATTGAAGCACGCACAAAAGAAATCGGTATCATCAGGAGTGGAACACTCAGCACGGGAATATTCACCTCGAACACCATGAGGATTGCCATATCGATATTTCCGGTACTCGAGTAATCTAGCAGAAGCCTTTTTTCTGGAAAGAATCATTATCCAACAAATCCTTTCTTCTTTTTTTTAATTTTTCTATTGTTTTATGGAGAAAAGCAATTATCAGTAAAAGGATGTTGCCTGAAGCCCATTTGTTCTACCAAAACTAACTTTGGTGCCCCATCCTCATAGTGATCGGAACCAGCAAAACTGTGAAATGACAAATAGTGAATGCTGTTAGATGAAGAAGAAAAGAAAAGATAATTTAAAGAATTTCACTGATTCGGAATCCGGAATGATTGTCTTATTTTATTTACTTTTCTACTTAATATTTTCTTATAGAATTTCATAAATTAGCATTTTTTTAAAAAAGTATTTAATGAAAATAAATCGTTAAATAAACTGTTCTCGGTTCAGATTCAGTTTAAGAGAATACAGTTTATTTAACGAAAAAAAAATTTCAAAAAAAGATCTGGAAAAACCTTTCGAAAATAGTCACAAATTATCTTTAATTTTACTGGAAAATGGAAATTTGGAAAAATTAAGAAAGTGCCCGTCAATGCCCACTATTTCTGGTTTGGCTCATTTAGCTGGTTATTAGTAGGGTTTTGCCAGTGAGTCATACTTGGTTATAAGTCGCCGCCGGCAACATCAGAATTCTTAAAGACACAAGACACAATATAAAGTCGAGGCTTTGCCTCTCAGATAATCTACAATCTATTCGGATATTTTGCCTCTATTTCTATTAAATGTTTGAAAAATGCAGTAAATTCTTTTTTATAAAAAGCATCATTCGGCGCTCTTTAATTATTATAGGTTTTTAAAACCATATTGCATTTTCATATTCGCTATAAAATTCATTGCTTCTGGTTTGGCCAGCTCTATTGACTATAACGATAAAAGCCTTTCGCCATTTTAGCGACAAACATATTCTGGTCAAACGACAGCAATCGAATCCATGATGTTTGATTTCAGCCAAAGTGAAATAACAACAACAACACATCACTCGACCATTAGGGGGCAGAATAGCCGAGTTGTTCTTGCTTAGGTTACTGAATCGAGCTTCTCCTTGTGCCATATTCATTGCTGTTATGAACAATGTCGGAAGCTTTCGAAACTAGTCGCGAATTATTTTGTCATTATTAATGGGGTAAATAAATGAAAAGAATATCGCAACTAACTGCTTTTTATCGAACAAAAATTTATACTTCAAAAAATTTTACTATTTTTTTTAGTTAAATTTAAGAATTAGGTCAACTTTGGCTGCTAAGAAAAATAACCATTTGTTTCATTTTATAAATATAAATGATTTTATGGCAGATGAAAGCTAAAATGTCCTTAGGTCTCGCTGGACGGTTACTTCTTACTTTGCCAGTGATTTACGCATAATAGTTAGCGCTATTCACATTGCAGTAACCACTTTTATATTATTTTCCGTATAGTCGTTATTAATCTATTCCGGTTCTTCGAATTTTTGATACTTTTCTGATCATTCAGATCATAATCAGATTATCACCGTATGTCGTATATCGTATTTTCCATTCAATAAATTAATTATGGTTCGTTCATTCCAAAGGCATCAAGAGGCTAATTTTAAAGGAATTTTCGGAATTTTTTAATTCCTTTATTTTCTAATTTCTTTACCTAATTAAATTGGGATTTTATAAAGTTTTACTATGTACTATAAATATAATCCATTATATTCTTATGTACCATTCTTGAAAATAGAAAGAGGTCATTCTTCTGCGGACATTGTTCTGGAAAAATCTTAAAATGATCGATGTCAATTGGCTCCAAACAACCATAAAAAGTCATTCAATCCGTCTATGGAACCGGTTTCTCCTCTTCAGTATTTTTATACTTTTACTTTAAGTGCCAGCGATAATATTTAATGATAAACTTTCCAAATTATCCGAATAATTGGGAAAGGCGAACTAAAATTTGCTTTTTTCGCAGGAAATTTCAATAAAAATTTTTTTTCACAGAATTCAAATATTTAATACTTGAAAATTATACTTAAGATTTATGGTCTTCATAATTCTTTTAAGTTTTTATGCACTCCGTGCATGGCGCTGTTCAACAGTAGCATTTCTATTTTTAAGTGTCGCTCTAAAGAGAGGTATCATTCAAACCAGAAATGCAAAATGCGATCTACTAATCATCAAAAATCTCTATTTTTAGTATCCAAAGCACTTTACAAAAGGTAATGCATAGAATGAATTTGTGCTTCATGAGGGTTATTTCTGAAGTGGTAGCAGATGGTAGCAGAAGTGATAGCGAGTTTTCTCACCCACTTTAAATATCCCTCATAATTTAACCAATATTATTTACCAAACATTTATTTATGTAAATAGATGAGAAGCAAAGTCAGCTCTTCGAGATTCTTCGAATATTTTTCAGTTATTTTTTTACTGCAGATTGAAGTATTAGAGCACAAGGATGTAACTGAAGAAAATATTTATTATTTAATATTTAACTTTTCTAATGTATTCCAATAATCGGCAAATAAAATAAGAAAAATCTCCAGACCAGATGCCTGAGTGAAATCGAGTAAAAGCGTTAATGATATTAGTGGAAACCATTTTGAAAAAAACTATAAATGTGGATTCAAAATCGGATATCCGAGCAAAAATAAAATTGATAGAATAAAATCGTGAGATTGGTGATTATTTGATAAAAATTCTTCTTTAAAATGGAAATTTTTGTTAGGAATTCACTTGGTGATTGAGGTGGGTCACCAAAACTTGGCAGTTTTATCGAATGCGAAAGGTAAGGGGCATGATAGAGTGATTATGCTGTCTCCACTCCGACCACTAATATTTGGAGGTGAAATCAGGCGGTAACACATGCATTTCCATCACCTCTAATGAGCCTGTGGCGATGATAGTTTATCACAACAATAAGTGGAATTAGCCAAGCCAGAAATAGAATGAATATTGAAAACAAAAGCTTTTTGGGTGAAACATTTTTTTTAAAAAAAATTATTTCTTCGAAATTTATATTTTATTTTATCACATTTTCACAAAATTAAATTTAAAAATTTTCTTTCTCAATTTGCTGTAATTTTTATGAAAAAAATATATTTCATCAACAAAGGAAAAGCAAAAAATGAAAATTTTTTTTTCATCCAAAAACTTAAAAAATTCCACACTTTTTTAAAATTTTATAATTTTTTTATAATTTGTTAAAAGCATTTATACATATCCGTTTTCGACCCATTGATTCACCTGGACTTATGTGCTCTTATGAAGTTGAATGAAACGGCAAACTTGGATTTATTTCGCTCTTAATGACTAATTTGCTCTCATCGTGCGATATCAGTCGAACTGATAATACCCAACTTCAATTGTAAAGAGTCTCTTTACGATAAAGAGGTGCAGAAAAATCATCGTAGACACCACACTAATACACATTAATAATTCATTAAAGCAAACATGGAAGTTCTTTTAAAAAATTTCACTGATTTTTCTTGTTGTTCACCACGGCTTAAACGCTTAACGGTGCATCCAGCCTTTATTTTGTAGAACAAACAAATCTCGCCCGAAAACTTTTTTCGCTTTTTTTTGTTTTGTCACCATACTGCACCATTGATGAAATCATTTATATCAAATAAACAAATAACTTAAATTTCTTTTTATTGCAAACATTTAAAACTATTTGCTATTTTGTTTCACATTTCACATTTTCATATAATTTCATTATTTTTGCTGCTTAGTGCAGTCGGTTCGCTCAGCTCCGTGGTTCCCTCAATTTGCCGTTTTCTGCGGTTGCTCCAACTAATTTTTGCCCTTTTTCCCCTCTCCCTTTTCTTTACCCAACTGTATTTTTGATTTTAGAATTTTAGCGAAATTCTTTTTAGGTAAATCAATAAACGCTTCGGATTCAATAATATAAATTGAAATCAGTTAAAATGGCGAAATCTGAGGAAAATTCTTGTAAATGAAACATAGATATTCTCGAAAAGAAAACATTTGTGGGTAAAATAAATCATTGGAAATTCCAATAAGAAAAATATCAGAAAAATGCATCATTTTTCAGGCTTCAATAAGTGATTTCTCAGAATTTTTCTCATTCATTTCTGCTACTTTTTTCGTTACTTAGAATTATTTACAATGAAAATTACTTATTTTTCAAATATTTAAATTATTTTTTCGTTTATTATAGAACAATTGTGACAATAATTATCGTTCTATCATTCATTTTTCTATTTTATTTCCCATATTTAAGTTATATTTTCTTATATGAATTTTCATTTTTTATATCACAATTACACTGCACTGACAATTATTATTATGATGCTCGTCGTAATAATCATTATTTTAGTTCTTCCATTTGCTTTAATCACTTCCCCGGCTTCTCAGACCTTCGACAAAGCTGAATAACGCGTTAGCGTGCAAAAGTGCTCGTCAGGACACTCGCTCGCAGAATCCGCGCTATCTCAACCGACTTTTAGCATTTTTTAAGAACATTGCTTTTGTCCTTTAATAAAATTATAGAAATGGGTTCGTGAGGATGTTTCATTGGTGGTGATCTGTAATTGTTCATGCTGTTTGACTAGAATATAAGTATTTGCCAAGTCGGATTCAGCGAATCGAGAACATCAACTGCGGGATTTTTTCGTTAAAAAGGGTTGAAAATAGGTTTCTCGTTTCCTAAAAATGTTTTCATTTATTTTGCATTTTTTATGAAATTTTTCAGTAAAAGTTGAAAAAATTCGATTCAATTAAAGTTTATTTTCATTCGACAGAACCTTTTTTGTTATTCGATTCATAGAGAGAGAATCGTTTTATAACGATTGTCCGTCCGATTAATAGATTCGATAAATATTGCTTTGGTTACTTACGAATTATGAATAAACCAGTGTATTTCTTTCGTTAAACTATTGTTCGATTCGAGTAGTTAAAAACATTGACAGCTAAAAAGAGACAAACAAGGGAGATTATTTTATGGATGGAGAGGAGGAGGCAGGAACAGGTTGTCTAAATGATAAGACGGATGGAGAGGAGGAGGCAGGAACAAGTTGTCTAAATGATAAGACGGATGGAGAGGAGGAGGCAGGAACAAGTTGTCTAACTGAAAAAACGGATGGAGAGGAGGACGACAACTCCTATGATAGATCGTCCTATGCTTATTTGCTCTTTCATTTCTCTTTGACCTTTCTGTATTCTTCTAATGGTCGCATAATTTTTCTTTTTTTTTGTTCTTTCATGCCTTCATTGTTTTTTCCATTAGTGAGTGAGTGAGTGACATAGGTATAGGTAATTGGATTATTTTTAAAAATATACGAGAAGAACGACGGCGGCTCCTGTTCGAGTCGATAAGTCAGTCAGCCTTAGCACTAACTTATAGTTCAGTCTTCGCTAATTTTTGTGTTTCCTATTTGATGTGCTAGGATAAATATGTTCAGTTAAGGTCAAAAATAGAATAAAATTCGTTTAAACAATAAAACAATTTACTTTAAACAACAAATTTAAAAGTTACTTATTTTGCTTGCCGATCAGCTGTTCTGTGTAGAACGAAAAAAAGAATTTTTTTTTTTTAAATCGATTGTCTGTTGTGTTCAGTTTGCTGTTTTCTTATTTATAATATGTATATACTTTTAAATCTCTAAAAATAAATAAATAATTGTCTAGGATTTCTTATTATTATTGTCGTTTTTCTGGATTCCGTTCTGGATTAGTTCGTCATAACGATTTCGGCAAAACGGCTACATTATAGGTTTGTTTTTCTTTAATTTTGTAGTTTTTGAAAATTTTTCGAAAAAATTTCTTCCTTGCAACTGCCGCAACAGTTTGGTTGTGCTATTTGTGCTTTCTTGTAGAATCCACAATACAAGCATTAAAACTTTTGAGGTCGAGCTAACTTCCTGGCGTCTCGAATGTTCTCGCATTATATTTAATTTTTGTTGAGCGCAGATGTTTTGACTGGCATTCGTTTATTTCACATAGACAGATTATTCACTGGAACTCATTAATTCATTTCTAATAATATGATGGTTATGTAATAAAGAAAATATTTTAGTAGTAATTAACCTTATTCTAATTTTTATTGGTAATTAATTAATATAGTTTGGGAAAAGATGATCGACTTGCTTCGATTAAGGTTAAACGTGGTAGGTTTCGTTCCTATCTTTTGATAAACATATCATTAAAGGTGAAATTTGGGGCTAATGAAGGTCCACCTCTGTTTCGCTTAATGGTTAGTCATTAGAGCAAGCCAAAGCAGAAATGGTGAATATTGGCAGAAAAAAAGTTGATATAGTTATTTGAATTATTTATCAATAAATATGAATTAAGTACAGATATATTTATATTAATAAAATAATAGAATAAAAGTATTGTATTTTATTAATATAATATAATACAATGAATTTGTAAAAAGTTATATTATCTATTTGATAATTAATGAAGAATTACAATTTAATTCAGAAATTTTTAATTTTTGAAATTGTTTATTTTTATATAAGTTTTTTATATATTTTAACTAATAAATCTTAATTATTCATTTCACGAAATAAAAAACGAATAAACGAAATGAAAAAATTTATAGAAAATTTGTAAAATTTTCTACAAAGAATTTAATTTTTCATCCATTCAAAATCGTTAGCAGATTTTTATAAAAATTTCTTTATTTTTATTTATTAAAATCTATTATTTATTTATTTTTATTTTTTTATTTTTAGTCGTTCAATATTCGTTAAGATTTCATTTATTTATTTTTCAACAATCGTTAATTCTTTATAAAATTTGAAAAAAATTGAAATGATAATAAACAGAAAGTGGTTCACGTTATTCACCACCACCAGTCACTGCGATCGCCACATCATCACAAAGTAATATTCAGCAGCAAAAAAAAGTATATATATTTAAAAAAATGAACCAAGTGCTTGTTTTTTCGCCAAATTCATATCAAACTTATTGTACATTGGCATTCTATATTGATAGCTTTACAGGTGAGAGTTTTTTAAGTTTCTTCTTTGTTTTCGTTAAAGTAAATTTCAATTAATTAGTATTTTAGGTGCGTTAATAATCGGTATGAATGAGAATCTTCCAGTTTCATCAACCATACAAGTTCCACGTACAATAGCGCCTTTTATCACAGCTGATCCTCAGCAGTAAGACGTTAGAAATCAAAATTTTAAAATCAGATGTAAACATTATGATTGTGTTTTTTGATAGAAAAACTGATATGCAATTAAAAAACGAGAAAGTCGCAAATTTTTTTCATCGATTTTTTAAAAATTATTTTTAAATTGATCAAGTATGAAATGAGTTATTAGTTTAATTAGCAAAATAAGAATAAAAAAATTTAATTAGCAAAAAAAAGAAAATGCTGTCCTAGATTTAAATTTTTAATTTAATTAAAAAAATTTTGGACCGCTTCAAACATCAACGAAATATTTTCCAAATGTTCCAAATATGAATCGCAACTATTTTGCATCGAAACAAAGCGCTCTTCCACGAATGGATCGAACATTAAATGCGAAACAAATTATTGCTGCTAAGCCAAAGGCACTTCAGGTTTGTTTCTTTTTTTCAGCCCCTCAGTCTTTTTAAAAAAATTCCTTGTCCAACAATTCATTATTTCAATAAATCTGGGAATTATTTTCGATTAAAATATTTAAAATATTTTAAAAAGTTGTTTGTCCAAAAGTTATTTTTTTAGAAAATCGAGGATTCTTTTGGAATAGACTTTTGAAAAATAAAAATTAAAAGTGAGAAATCCGTTAAAATAATGAAAAAAAGAAGTGTAAATCTTACATATCCATCATGCGATATTTTAATTTTAAATAATAAGTAGTGCTATCAATATTTTGTTAGAGTGCAATAGAATTGGTTTAATAACTTTCTTGAAAACTTTTTAATATGTTAGTAAATAAATGGTTTTCGCTTCATTTTTGGTTAGGCCAATTTCATTGGCTATTAGTACTATTAGAAATTTTTACAATGGAGCCATTTGATAATAAAAGACGATAAAAATGAAGGTGGCACCACCCGAATTTTGCAATAACAGGTTCATTTCTGTTGAAATCGAATCTTCCTCCCTTTAATTAATTATTATATGTAGTAAGAATTTTCCATAATCAAAATTTATGCCTGTCATTAATAGTCTATCAGGATTGATTATAGTAGAATCGATATGCTAATTGTTGTAAACAGGAAAAATACGTTTTAAAGAATTTATTTTCCTATAAAACACTAATTGAAAAGACCATCCCACTGAGCAGAATTAACTTCAAGCCTTGTAATATATTTACTTGATATCCCCCCTCAAAATTCGGTCAAAGAGCTACAGCTGGCTATGAGGAGTTTAAGATTAAAGAAAGGAATTGATGAAGAAATGTTAATAAATATGTATCATATCAAAGAAGTAGTGGAGCATTGGAGAAAGAGGAAAAAAAGGACGCTAGGTTTTCGACAGAATACGACACCAGATTTTAAGTGGTATCAATGGGTTTTAACAAAGAGTAAGAATGAGAGTAAGATTTTGAAGATTTTCCGCAACCAACGCACAGTTTAACTATCGACCATATGAAAATATTAAAACAAGCAATTAATAGATAAAAATGGCTTATAGGATTGTTTATGCGAACGTCCAGCAAGTCATATAATATGTAAAAGATGTGGGTATGAATTTGTTGGTCGTTTGTCAAAAGTTTGTCCAGAACATCCGAAAAAGTTACCATTGATGGATCATCGAGAATGTCCAAATCGTCTCTGCAAAAGCATTCATCTTATCGAAGTCCCATTAAAGGATAACTGAAAAATAGAAGTTATATAATGCAGGGGTATTTTTGAAAGCCCTTTGTTTATATCTCTTTATTTCACCATGTAAAATGTAATTTTCTTAAGTATCTTAATATCTTTTTTGTTACTAATCTTTTATAAAATAAAATTGAACTCGAGTTGCTTAAACCGTGCGAAAGCATGCAAAGCATGGCAATTAGTAATCGTATAATAAAACTTTGGTTTTTAACAATATTTATTTTATTTTTTGATCGAGTTGGTATTTGCAGAGAAATTTTAAAAAAACCATATTTTAAAATATTTCTGAAATATTTTTGCTTCTCAAAAAGAAATCCCTGAGGTTTTATAACTTTTTCTTCCAAATTTCATCCACATAAATTTTTTTTGCCTTTTAAAAGGGCGATATTGCTTTTTTCAAATTGTATTTGCCATATCATTTTGCGAAAAAATTGCGAAATTGGTATTTCTGTTAGGAATGAGATTTAAAGCATTATTCCACTTTAAACTACTCAGATTGGCGACATTCATTTTCCTTCAAAATATTGCAAAGGGAAATTGTATGATTTTATAATCAAATAAAAACAATTCAGCATCTGTCGAAATTTTATTTAAAAAATCAGAGAAAACCATTTTTCGAAAAAAAATCAAATGGTGCCAAATATTAAGAAGCGGAAGCCGCTACAAGACCCCCTTTGACCTCCTCCTTCTTCGCTTCCCTCCGCTTTATTCGCTGAGCCAACTTTTCCTTGTTGGACATTGGCACTGGATGCCGATTTGCTGGTCGTCAGTCAAACGTTTGCCAGAACATCCGAGGAGACCATTAATACAAACGTTGCAAAAACGCAGTATTGCTACGACCGCAGCTGTGTTTTACCTATGTTTATAAGTCAGATATAAATTTAAATTTTGCGGAAATTGTAACACTTTGTCTCCGAGATTTTTCCATCTGACGGTGCAGTACAGTTTGGTTGTGGTCGGTTTTATTGGTTGCGGTGAAAGGTGACAGTTAACGGGATCTGCCCCGCGGGTATGAAGGGTTTGGTTCTAAAAAGAAGAGTGATTTCAATTTTAAGATTTAAAGAGAGGGACCTTTACGAAAGTCGATGATTTAATCATATTTACTCTTAGTTTAATTATATGGCTTAGAGGCGCTTATAGCCAGCGAAATCGGCCTAACCATCAGCGGTCCAAGCATTTGGAAGGAGGAGAGGAGAAGACTGTATGGTTAGGAAAATTACCTTCTTATTTTGGTTGTTTTCTTGTGTGCCTGTGTGAATGTAGACATTTAAAAATTTGTTTTGGGTTAACCGGTCTGGTTAAAAATGATAAGCGCTCTTGGAATTTCTGATTAAGCTTGCTCAGTGGCTGTTTATGGTGAGAAGTTTTCGCCAAGGAATTAAGTGTAGGTTTAATTTTATGTGATCCTTTCTCCATTTACTCGCAATTTATTCTTCTTATCATAGGCGGAATCAAATTTTTAACGCTGGCGACGTTAATCCGAACAATAAGCACTGGCTGTCCAATTATTAGTTAATTTTTAATTTAATTTAATTTAATTTAGTTAATTTTTTGCAAGTTAAATTTTATTTTTTAGTAAATTTTTCAGATTATATGAATTATAAATTTGTAACGATACGGCGAATCATATGTTTTGTGTTTTTTGATTTAGCAACGAATATTGGTTTATTAAGAGATGGTGGCGATTCTTATAATGAAGAATTATTCATCAAACGCTTAAAAAGTGAAAACATTCTTTCACAATTTCGATTTATTATTACCACGCGAATCAATTTAGGTAAATTTCTTTTCTTTTTTCGTAATTTTGATAAGCTTAATTGCAATTTGTTTATCAGTATAATCAAAAAGTGACAATTTTTTCTTTTTTTCTTTTAAAGACGAAGAAATTAATATTTAGCAATTTAATAACTTTATTAGTAATTTTTACTGTTCATCTTTTTCTTTTTTATTAATTTTCCTCTTATTTCTTTTTGCATTAATTTCAGTTTATAATTTTATGTTTATGTTTATTCATAAATTCTTTTCAGGAACGGACTATCAAGTTTTTCCACGTATTATTGGTGAAGTTTTAACGAAATACAACATCGATGAACTTCATTTTTCACTTACACAAGGTTGTGTTTTAGTGATTTGTGAATTAAAATATATTTTACATGTTTTTCTTGTATTTATTTACTCTTTTATTCACTTTTTCATATTTTTTATATTTTGAAATTCACTTTAAAAAGTCGTATGATGTTGGATTTTGATTTATATCCTAGTTGTTTTACTTCTAAAATTTATCTATTGCCTTTATTTATTTATGTCTACATTTATATTATTTTTATGTCCGTGTTTAAATTTATATAATTTCATTATCAAATTATATCGCTTTTAAATTCATTTTAGAAATTGCAAATTATTGTTATATTTATGTTTATTTTTTCTGTATTTTTTTATTTATATATTTTTTTCTGTTTCGCAATATTTTTTCAATATTATTGTATTAAATATGGTAATAAATATTGCCGTAAAAATATTTAAATCTTTAGTGTTAGAAATCTGTAGGTGTATGGAAGACAGATAAATGGGGAATTGCACCTCAGCCGGCAAGTCCATCAGGAGCGCAATTATATGCTTGGTTTAGTGGTATTGATGGCGAATCGAGGTTAAATTTTTCCCACTTTTTGTTCCATGTAAAATTTTTTAAAATAGGAAATAGGACACTATTCTTTCAATATTATATATTTTTATTCTAAAAAAACATTTATTTTCAATTTTTCTATGAAAAAATTTATGCCAATTAAATTATTTTAATTTTTAGTGTTGATGAACGGTGGAATTATTTGCTCAATTCACTGAATGGAATTTTTTGTGCATCGCTTCTTGAAATGAATCCAACATTAACTGTAATTCCGAAGCGGTCGTTTCGTTTACGAAACTCTTTGAAACATAAAAGTAATCATAGCATTAGGTAATTTTTTTTCTAATATTTATCTTGAATATTTATCTCTGAATAAAAGGTATTTTGTACAATTATTTATATGAGCATAAGCGATTTGCATAATATTTTATTTTTATTTTTATAATCTGAAATGAATTTTATAATATGATAATTATCATATTGTAGATTAAAATTAATTGAAGTTGATTACTTTTTATTTTCATAATTTTCAAATTTTAATTTTTTTTCTTAATAATTTTTAAATTCTTTCATTATATTTTTGGTTAGAGAAAAAAATTTAATTTTGTTGGCAGATTAGCTCATTAAGATATGGAGCTTTATCTGGTGAGACTGTTTGCACCGAGAATTTAACACCGTGGCGAAAATTGTTGCCTTGTAAACAAGTAATAAAATTTTTAAAAACTTTTAAATTTCTTTTGAATTCTTTTAAATAAATTAATATTATTAAATTATAAATATTATTAAATTATAAATATTATTAAATTAAATTAAATTATATTATTAAATTATAAATTTCGAATTCTTTAAAAGAAAAAAGACTGGTTTTAGACTGGTCTTTCAACGCTTCTGAATCCTGTAAAATTTTATGAATCAATTTTTCATTCAATGTCAGTTAACATTTACCAAATTTGTCAGGTCAGCTTTGTGTTCTTTATGTTTTTATGATTATTTTCTTTGATTTTCGATATATTTTGATTTACTTTTAAACCTTTAAATTTAAATGAGCTTTGTTTTAAAAAAAGAAAATAAAGTTTAAATAAACTGGAAAATCTATAATTGCTATGAATTGAAAAATTGTAAATATGGTATGATATAGGGTGACAAGGATAACATATGTGAAGGCCGTATTCGTTTAGAACTTTATTTAAATATGGTCTCTGAATTTGATCTACGCTTCCGATCTTTAGGTATGATTTTGATATTATCTTTGAATTTTTTTTGCTTTTTTCATCTATTCATTCGTTTAGATTGGAGTATCAAGCAGATATTCGATAGGGAAATTGGAAGTAAATGTGCAATTGCGGATTCAAGTACTATTATTTTCGAAAGAGATCGCAAGGTTAGTCGCAAATTAAATTTTTTTCCTAGCAACTGGATTTTAATTTTATTTAATTGAATTAAATAAGCTTCCATTGCAGTCAGTTTCAATTAACGAACCGAGTGATATTATAGAATTCGGCGGTCGTGTTTTTCTTTTGTACGATATATCTGCATTATCTAAAACATTTCCTTTTAATTTAGCTGCCGTTTATAAAAGAAAACTTGATTTATCCAGGAAAAGGCCTGAAACACTGATGAGGTACATTGTTTTTTTTATAGGAAGTGAATTGAATTGAGGTGAATTTCATGTCAATATTATATATCCTTTAAGCGCTACAAGTAAAGTTTTTTTTTAGAACACCAAAAAAAAATTGTTGAAAATCGCAAAATTGTTTTCAGCATTTACAGTTTTCTTGGTGGATCTAATCAGCAGTCAGGAAGAGTAGTTAGCGTAATCAAGAATGATCAATCATTTAAACAAGATGTTATTTATACGCATATTATTCCGTGGTTTATGCGAGTTTATTTTCATACCATCCGCCTAAACTGCTTTAGTATCGATCAAGAGGTTTCATAAATATTTATTAGAAGATCTCAAATTCTATGATGGTTTTTCAGGGCTTTTAAAATTTGTTTTTAAATTTTTGAGCTTTTTTTTATTAAATTAATTTTTGAAATTACCAAAATCTGATTTATAGAATGTAAAAAAAGATGGATATATTAGGGAGCATCATTTTATACCTGGCAAGGATCGTATTCGTCCATTTTTCATTGAATATGGTCTTGTGTTGCCTTCTCTTTCTTTTTGTGAATTTTCATTCGAATTCGATAAAGCATTTCTCAGGTGAAAGCATTTTAATTTTTTCTGTTTTATTTTTCTACTTTAATATGGCAAATAATGAACAATAGTTTTGGTCCTTTTTTTCAAGTATTATTAGGTGATAATATGCAGAATGAGGAAGATGACTATTAATAGTATATGTTTAGAGTAAGCGAATATCCGCCGGATGCAAATCGTGGCCGTTATGTTCCAGCTGCTTCATTATCATTTATGGCTTCTGACGAATTATGGTATACCAATATTACCGTTCATGGCGATTTTTTAATATCAGCCTTAGATGAGTTAGTTTCTTAAATTTTTTCATTGTACGATTGTTTTAATTTTATGATTGTCTTCCTAAATTCATAACAATATGTGAGATTTTTTTAACATTTTTAAAATCTTTTCTTAACCAATTTCAGCAAATTTATGAAGTTTTTGTTTTTACTGCTGTATATTTAAATCTTTGAATTTCTCCAGAATAAACGGTACTCAGTCATCACGTTGTATAACAATATATGGAAACGCTCTGTTGGTTTTACTTCCAGTACCTGATTTCAGCATGCCTTTTAACGTAATATGCCTTGTGTGCACAGCCATTGTAATGCTTTTTGGGCCTGTTCATTCACTTACAACCAAAATGTTTGTCATTAATACAATTATGAATTGTATTTCTTCATAAAAATGATGAAATCTTTCTTTTACATTAGTTATATACTTTTAGACTTTAAAAAATTTTAAAAAAAAAGTAATTTTTTAGAATGATTCCTCTTTCGAGAAAAGATAAAGATCTAGCTCCAGTGCCACCTTTACGAAAGCTGTTACTGTCGATATATAAAAATTCAGAAATTCGTCTTAAGAGATTTGTGAAGAGGGAGCCGAAAGCAGCTGAGATGGTGGTTTGTGCAGGATCAGGTTTATTCACTCATTTTTTTTTACCGGCAATATGCGTAGAATTTTATATTTATATTTTTCTTATTTTTTTATTTTCTAAGTTTTTTCAGCTACTGGAAGCTTTGCCGAAAATATTTCTGAAAGTATCGGAGACAAAAATTCCCCATTTTTAAAAGAAAGAAGGAAAACGAAATCTGTTGCGAACGATACTCAATAGTTTCTATTGCTTTAAATCTTTTAATAATTATTATAAGACCCATTCCTTTTATATCTAAGTCTTCCGGCAATTTTTAAATGAACTTTTCTAAAAAATGATTTATCAAATGAAATCAAGTGATAAGGTGGAAAATGCTTGTAAAATTATTTGATATTATTAAATTACAAATTATAAATTAGCTATGAATAAATTGTAAATTATTATAAATTAAATTAAATTATAAATTACTTCTCAATTTTATTTGTTTTTTATTCAGTCTGTTTTATTGAATATACTTTTATTGTGAATAAAACCCAGTATATGAATTTATACTGTTTTTATTTTAGTAATTTGTTTTCGATAGTTGTCTTATTGCAACTAATGCAGTTGCAGACGCAATAATTATAGTGTATGTAGAATTGATCTAAATTAGCGATTTTATTAGATATTTTATCCAGATTTATTATTCTATCAATAAAATTTGTAAATTGCTCTATCAGTTGAAATATTATATATTTAGAATAATTTTGTCTCACTTACAAATTTTGTCTCTTTTCTTAATAAAATTTTTAATTTTTCACCAATAATTTTATGAATTGGGTTTGCAAGACCAAAATTAATTATTTTGCTCGATTCATTTGGAAAAGAAGTTATTTCAATTTGTTAAAAGCCTTTGAAATTGGCGAGGAACTTATATTTTTTGTTTCATTTTGGTCTTGCACTATTTCTTAAATTATGTGAACCCATTCACCGATTAGGCTTGTCGGAGGATAAATTTTTGCCTGAAATGGCCTGATAAAAATGCAGATGATTCATCAGTTTCAGCTGTATTTTTTGAAAGACAAATTCGTTCCTGGCGTTTTCCTGCCAAGAATGCAACCATCGCTTCAGCTCTCGGACCTGAATGAGATAAAAGAAAGGGATAACATGCCCAGTCATCCTATATTAATATTTTTCTAATTATGTAAGATAATTTCAGTTGATAAGCTGCTACAGATCTTCAACCTCAATGGCGAAACGAAAATCTGATGTTAATGGTAGTGGTTTTTTATTTATAAATTTTGATTTGAAAATTTTGTTTAAAGTTTACTGCATTTGATTTTTTTTTAATAATTTATTGAACTATTTCAATAAATTTCAATTTTTTCATTTGTTTTTATTTATCTTGCCCATTTTGTTGAATATATTTTTTGAATGGTTTTTTTTCATTAAATTGCAGGAAAAATATTTTCATTAAGGATTGTTTAAACATATCAAATTATGTTTTTCTAAAATTTAAGTAGTTTTTGTATTCAATTGAGTTATATTAAGTAGTTACATTAGCTACCATCGGAGTCGACGAAAATAATTGTTGTCGACAAAAAGTCTCTCGAGTTAATCCGAAAAGTAAATGGGGCTTCTTGATGGACAATGCAAGCCCTAGGGAATTTTATGAGAAGGCATTAGAGCGCAGTTCTGTTGTTGCCACATCAAATTCATCTTGGTCATCCATTGATCAACGAAAAGCGAATAGTTCCAAGCGCTCCGGCAAATCAAATGGTAAATTTTCAAGTTTAGTTTTTTAAAATTATCAAGAATTTTCGATTATAAGATGAAAAATTTTTCGAAAATTAAAATTTCTTGAAAAAGAGAAACAGTTGGTAGGATTTAATTTATTTTGAACAGAGTTAACTTTTATGTTTATGTGAAGTTTTTTGCTGAAAGTTTCTTTTTTTTATTTTATTTAAAATCGTTATTTTACTTTGATTTCAAACAATGATTTCCATGATCGAATTTATAATGTTATAGCTGTTGTAATAAAGTTAAAATTATAGATATCAATGTTCATTTTTTAAGTTTTTTTTAAATTTTTTCTTTAAAATGAAATGAAGTTTTTAAAAAAAGTAATTATATTAGTTCAATAGAAATTAGAAAAAGCTGGATGTGAAAATAACCTTAAAAAAGACAGGAAATAATTTAATTTAGAGGAATCAGTTTTAGATTTAAAAGGATTAGCTGATAAAGTACTAAAAGAAATTTTTGGACATGTCAAATACAAATCGCAGCTGCAGAAAGAAGCGATTTACACTATATTGAAAAGTTCGATTTTTTCACATTTCATCTTTTCTTTTAAAAAGGTATATTATCTTAAATAATATTTAGTCTCAACTACTAGGATTTTCTATTTTTATGAATGAATATTTAATTATTGAATCGGGTTGGAATGCTTAATAAGTTGTTGCTCTAATTTTGGAGCGAGTGCTGGATTAAGCTTGTTCAAAAATCCGATTCTAGCGGCCCATCTGTATCGCCAAGTGATTTATATGGTCTAACAAGCCAGTGGAGCATGGTTAACTAAAATTGATGAGTGCTCTTCACTTAAATGAATCTAAATTATTGAAGTGAATATATGGATAAAATTAGGAGATGTACCATTCTGAAATAGATAAACTTTGATCTGCATTTGGGTAAGTTGTTAGTTAAGTCCTTAAAATTATATATGATATTAAAATTATATATAATTATATTAAATTATATATATAAATTATTAATCTTTAATATTTATTATCCACTTCAGAAAAATCTGACGTATTTATATCATTGCCAACGGGGGCTGGGAAATCTTTGTGTTATCAGGTATATTGTATGTTCAAATTCCTTTTTTTGGCTCGTATAAGAATTTTTATATAAAATTTTTTTTTTTTCTTAAGTTTTTTCGGTTATTTGGATGGAAAAAGATTTTCAGTTGCCTGCAATGGTGAATCAAGGCATTACTATTGTATTTTCACCGCTTATTGCCCTAATTCAAGATCAAATGACTGCATGTAGATCGAAAGGCATCAGTTGTGGATCATTAAATTCCAAATGTACATCTGTTGAAAGAAATAATATTATTGAAGTAAATTTAAAAATATTGCATTAGATGTTATCGTTATAATTAGTTGAAATGACTTTTTTTTCTTACATTTTTATTTCTATCATTAAATCATTTTTTAATCTATATTATGAATTTTTTATGAATATTTTATGAATCTTCATGGTGATCCATCTTTAAATTTCGATGATTTTAATTTCGATTGAATTTAGGATATAAATTCGATTTCTCCAGTTGTTCGCATACTTTATTTAACGCCAGAGGCAGCGGCAACTTCAAACATACAACAGATGATCACAAGTTTATATAAGCGGAATCTTCTTAATTATTTTGTCGTTGATGAAGCCCATTGTATTTCACACTGGGGTCACGATTTTCGACCAGATTATCTAAAACTGGGAAATTTACGAGAAATTGCGCCGAACGTTTGTTTTCATCCTGTTTTTTATGGTTCACGTGTTTGAATCATAAGTTATTTTTCTTGCATAATAATCTTCTATTAGATACTTTTTAAGGTATTTTGGATAGCTTTAACTGCTACGGCTAATATCAACGTTCAAAATGATATTATGGGTCAACTTAAGCTGAAAAATGTTAAAGTCTTTAAAGCTTCGACATTTAGACCTAACCTTTATTACGACGTAATTTTTAAGGATATAATTGCTTCAGACTCAGAGGTTATAATTTATTTATCGTTTTACTAAATTAATTCCTGAAAATAGCCGGAATAATCGATAGTTTTTCTTCCTTTATTTAAATCAAGACGTTATTGTATTATTTATAAATTTTTATTTATTTTATCGATCCTCGATAACAAGCACAATTCAGCTCAATTTGCTTCGGATAAAAATGTCTTGTCTAAATTAGTTTCGTCGAATTTTCATCAATCAGTTGGGTTCGACACCATACCATGTGCGGAATGAGCTTGTTAAAGATGTTATAGCTGAAGTAAAGATTGGTGTATTTTCAAGCAATTTAGAGAAAATCTCTCAGCTACGTAAACCATTTTCTATGCAGATCATTATATATTATAGACCTATCACATCACTATCACACAAACTCATATTGAATCTTTATTTTTCGTGTAAAAATTGTTAATTGTTATCGAAGCTGGATAAATAGATAAAAATTTATGATATATCAATTAATTTAGTTAAAGTCGTTCAACTTAAACTTCAACTCTGTGAAATTGATCAAAAATTGAGAGAATAATTCATCTATATTGCATTTACTCATTCTCTATTCAAAAATATGTAATTTTTAGCATCATTTGGCATTATTTGTAATGAAAGCACTAAATTATAATGGAAGTTCTAGCAAAAGTGATAAAGATTCAGAATCTGTTTTTTTTACTCGATATGATGGAGTTATAACAAAAAACCATAGCGATTCTAAAACCCAACAGCAGAACGTTTGTTTAACGATTATTTTTGATTTTTAACAATAGATTTTGTTGCTTTTGTTATGCTTTAAATTATTTTCCATATTTTAGTTTTGTGGCAGTGGAATAGTTTACTGTCGCACTAGAGATGAGTGTGAAAAAATGGCTGTACGTTTGGGTGAAGAAGGTATTACTGCCTATGCTTACCATGCAGGACTAAGCAGCAAGGTTCTGTTCTTTAAGTTTAAGTTCTTTAAGTTTTGTATAATTTTTACTTTTTTTTGCGAAATCTGTCTTTTTTACGTCAATTTTTTTTAGGAGGTTTCGGTTGTTCCATGATTGTAACTTTATGATTTCATTATTTTCTGGCCAGTTATCGAAATTAATAGTTTTAATTCTCTCTTAAGAAGCGTCGTGATCACAATTGATGAAGATTGAACGCGTGGAGATTACGATGCCGCTACTATAGAATCTATAGTTGATAAATATGGTGTCAGGGTTCGATGCACCAGTGGAAAGCCTTCTTTGATTTGCACCAATAGGCTTTTCGCTATTCTTTCAACATCACATCTAATCATATGGGACTTTTCAGATAACATTCCAGCGAGGTTAATTATATCTTGAATCATCGTTGGAAGAATTTCGTGTGATTAAATCATCCTTATCGCGACTCTGATAATCTTTGCTGGATCAGATTATGTTGTGGTTCGAGCCAAAATGTATAAGAAATAGCACATCCCAAAATTTTTTTAGTTATCTCAAGCCAAAAGATTTGAGGACAATAAGTGCATTTAAAAACTAATTATCGAAGTATCAATGGTATAAATATCAATATCGGCACTTTTGGAACTGTCGATGAATATTAGTCGTAAATAAAGGCATATGAAAGGCACAAATTCAATATGAAATCAACCAAATTCGCGTTTGGATATGCCACTCGGAAATGCGCTAATTGGGTATCAGAAGCAATCCAACTCTTCGAAAAGACACCAATAGTCTGCCTTAATTATCGGGCGACATTTCAAAGGCATTCAACAGTGGTGACCGTTATTGATGTGGTATGGCCTCGAATATTGAAGGCGACTGATGGAGTAGGCTATGAAATCTCGCTTTCTTTATAAAAGCAACCATTATTAGGGACAGGAAAAGATCCGAGATGATGAGCCTGTTAAGGCTTTCAAAGATTACGCTTTTTACGTTTGAGGGAGTTTGGCCAAGATAGGTCATTTATCATCCTACATACACGAGCCATATATTTACAACAGAGAAAAAAATAATTTCCATCATTCAGAAATGTAAAGCAAATAAAATTGTCAAAGGCTAAATAAAAACTGTTGTCTGGATTGCATATTTCCCCCAGCAATAATCACGTATGCGAAAGAATGAATTATGGGCACTGCTTGCTGGCACTCAAAAGGTATTAAAATCGTGCCAAAGTATATTATAAGTATAATCGTGCCAAGATAAAATCGAGCCCATGATCAATGTAAATAAAACGAAAGCCTTTTCATTTCGTCTTACCTTTTCAATGTTGATAAAATATCTACCTTTATCATTTAGAGGTATTTGGAGGCTTGAGGAGGCGGTAAACTTTAAATATCTTGATTCCACTCTTATAGCAAATGGCTAACTGAAAGATGAAATTGCAGCTGGGATAACAGCAAATGCTTTGTTTTATCTGCCGTGACCTCTTTAGAATCGCTGCGAAATCATCATAGAAATGAAAGTTCAAACTCTCTGGCATACCATTTTGTTATAGCCGCGAAACATGGCCAGTGAGTGGAAAATTAAGCCTGACTTTGACCACTCTTATCTAAGGTTTATACTTTACGTGCTCATCGAGCGGATAAAGTTTCGCATGGTTATCCACTTCTGCTCAATTGCCTGCATTACATATCATCACTTATATGGCTTCGTCGCTTATGTTGGTTAGGCCATGTTCTTCACTTCTGTCCCTTCCACCCAATCACAATAATTGATGCTCATTTCTCTCCCTGCCAAACTTCGTGATGGATAACGAGGAGGACCAGTGAAAATCCGAACTGATTAGAAAGACTTTGAGCGAATAAAGAGGGCAGAGATAAATTGTAAATTGTTACGGTTTGGGTCGATTTTATTTTGTGCATTAAAGATAGACAAATTTGGACCCCTTTTCACTGATATGAAAGGTTCTGCAGTGAGTTGTGTAGAAATTGGCTGATTACAGTAAATAGCGAAAAGATGGGGCTGAGCCGGGGATCGATCCCGGGACCTCTCGCACCCTAAGCGAGAATCATACCACTAGACCACTCAGCCACGTTTGCTGTTAGTGAGAGATCTTCTTTTAATCTACAAAATTGCTTCAAAGACATTGTTTTTGTCATTTTTTATTTAAAATTTAAATTTATGCACATAAATTCTGCCATAAAAATGCGATAATCCAAATTTTGCGTTGATTTATTTAAATCATTTAAATTTATATTCTATGAATAGAAATGTGATAAGCAAATTGGGTTGAAAACTGGTTTAAATAGTTTCTCACTTTCTAAGAAATGAAGATTCTTGTGGATTTTTTTAACCAAAATATTTTTTCCTTTTTTTGGCGGAAAATTTTTTTTCTAATATTTTTCAACCAAATACAGATGTTTTTATATTTTATTACATTGAATTTAGATTCGTGAGAATATACAAGAGAAGTGGATGAAAAATGAAGTTGCTGTAATTGTAGCGACAATATCATTTGGAATGGGTATCGACAAATCTGATGTAAGGTCAGTGTTTCAGTGGTTTTCCTCTATTTTATTAAAATATCTTCAGCGAAGTCTCAATTTTTTAAGAGTAGTAGTGCACTGGACAACACCACAAAATCTGGCCGCTTATTATCAAGAATCTGGTCGTGCAGGACGAGATGGCAAACGAAGTTATTGCAGAATTTATTACAGCAGAGACGATCGTAGGCTTCTCAATTTTCTTATTAATCAGGATATCAGTAAAACAAGGGTTCGAAATTCATTTTCATTTGTTGTTAGGCATGTAAGAATTACTATTATTAATATTATTGTTGTTATTTACTATCATTATTATCATTTATTACTATTAATTATCAATTATTAATGTTCATTTATTTTTATTTATTTAAAATTTGTATTTTAAGAGCTTTATTTAAATTGTACACCGAAGAATTTACGATATAAAACAGATTAAGATTCAATATTGGATTCGATCTAATTCATTTAGATAAATTCTAAATGGACTATACTGGGAGAAATCCAGTTGATAAAAAAATGTTCATAAGCTAAAAATGAAAAAGCGAGCGGATTGATGTTGACCATACAAACGCATTGCTGTGAAGTTCACCTGTAAATATATAAATAAAAGAATTAAATAAAAACAAAAAATTTTTTAAATTAAAAGCTTTATATTTCAACATCATTAATATCAATATTATAGATCAAAAGAAATTTTCAATTTTTTAGGCTAAGAAAATCGAAAAAACTTTAATCGAACAGCAAATTAAGGGAATGCAGCATGGATTTGAGAAAATGATTGAATACTGTGAACGGCTTGGGTTCTTTTTTTTATTTTTTCTTTCATTGAATTAAAATTTTCAAGTTAAATTCGATATATTCCATAAAATATTTTTAGCTGTCGACATGTAGCATTTAGTAAATATTTTGGCGACACAGATTTGCGGGCTTGTAATACAAGCTGCGATCACTGCAAAAATCCAAAGGTATTCCCTTAAATATTTATGATTTGTGTTTTTTTTCAATTTTCTTTTACTTATTTATTCGCTTTAAGATATGTGAAGAAGCGGTACAAAAATTTAATGGAGAAATATGGAAGGATTCCACATCAATGAAGTGGCATAAAAAACCATCTCTTTTTGATGACAGTAGTGAATTATATGAAGGCGGTCGATGTTCGAAGTTTTTTATTTTCCATTTTCAACAGTTTTTTTTTTGATAATTATGAAAAAGTAGCGGCTATTATTTGCGCTTCTGTATTACGGCTCCTACTCTTAGAGGTGAAGCAGTGCCAGAACTTACACATATATAGACATCTATATAAAAGCACAACT